AAGTTAGTGTCTCGTGCGCGCCAAGTTAGTGTCTCGTGCGCGCCAAGTTAGTGTCTCGTGCGCGCCAAGTTAGTGTCTCGTGCGCGCCAAGTTAGAGTCTCGTGCGCGCCAAGTTAGAGTCTCGTGCGCGCCAAGTTAGAGTCTCGTGCGCACGAGATACCTCACAGGATCCGGGAACCGTGGGTGGAAAGGCTCTGAGACTTGTCACCAAGCTGCGGCACCCATTGGAGAACAAGCAACGCAGCACTGTTTGTATTTCAGGCCGAATTGGGAATAAAGCTCAATAATGTCACAATTCCTTTTCAGTAAACACAGCTTGTCCAAAACGATCTGAAAAATCCTGTGAGGTATCTCGTACGCACGACTTACTAACTGGTGGGAAAGAGGTTTTTTTTTTTTTTTTTTCCATCCAATGTCCCTTTAGAGACTCTGWAAACTGCCGGTCCAGTTTGTGACTTAATTTTTTTCTCTTCGGCTGCTGAAGGTGAGCGCGTACGGCTTCATGACGCCCGACTACAAAAACTACTCTGACCACTACTTTGACATCTCCTACCACCGGGTGGGCTTCTTCATCAACCACGACCTGCGCATGGAGATGAACCTGTGGCAGCAGCTGCACAAGGCGGGACTCCTGCAGCTCTACATGCACCAATAACGCTTCAGCTTCCTGCTCCAGGAGATGAGCCGAAACATCACCAAAACGCCTTCAAACTAAAAAAATGAGATTTTCCTTTCGTAAAGGAAAAGTTTTTTTTTTATGACAGCAGCTGTGATTGTTTACAATGGAAATTTTAAGTTTATTTATCCAGTATTTTTGGTGTAACACTAAAAAATTATTTATTTTTGGTATTTGGGGGTTTCTGTGAATCAGGGGAGAATGCTTTATTATTAATCCTCAGAGGATGAACCATGTTGGCTTCTAATTCTCTGAAATTCACTTTGTTGCTAAATGAAATTTATGGCTTCTAGTTTTTTGTATTTTTACAACTTTTTATTTAAACAAAACTAAAAACGTTATTCCCTTCAGTCCATCTATTTTCAGTGAAGGGGGAAAAAACGGGCACAATTTAAACCAAAAACTGTAAATATAAAACATTATTTTTGAGCTGAAATTAAAATTTGAGCTCTCTGTTTGAARCATCAACCAAATCACTCGGCTGCAGCAGGTTATATTCAGTTTTTTTTCTAATGTGAGAACTCCAGCTTCAAACTTAATTCATGTTCATGTCGAAGGATGTCTTTACAGATTTTACTTTAATGGTTTGTCGCCGACCGGAGTGCCTTAATGTGAGCCAGGAGTCCTGATTCCCGCAGAAACAAAGTTTGGACTCGTCTGTTTGCAGCTGCAGCTCGTCTCTGTGGGACGTCCGTCAGAATTATGCATTTTTTTTTCTGCATAGATAAAACACCATGTAAGACCAAACAACAAATAAATCAGGGATTTTGTTATCAATGATTTCTGCGAAGGGAACCTTTCACTCTGCACTTTCATATTTTACATAAAGAAAACTGATTTCTCCATTTGGTTTTTGTGATTTATTTTTTTAAGTGACAAAACGATGCATTTTAAACTAAAATCTGAGCATTTCTTTATAACAATCTGACATTAAATGAGTTTAATGATCTAAATCAGGATAAGTGAAAATATTTGGAATGCAGCCCGGCTCTGCTGCAGCGCTGAACCAATTAAATTTGATCTGAGGTGTTTCTGTCAGATCTGTTGTCTGTTTGCACAAACTGTTAAATATTTCCAGCTAATAGAGATTTAATTTTMCATCTGTTCCACACGGAGGTGAATAAAAACACTAAATTCTAAATTAAAGTCAGGAAATCTCAAACTGTTTCAGATTTTTCTGATCCAGTAATTTATTTTTGCTTCCTTTAGGGAAAAAAATCAAGTTTTTTGACATCAGTTTATGTTCAAAGTAAATTTTTCGAAGGTGTAAAGTAGAAATTTTGGTTTATCTATGCTTATTTTTTTTAGCCAACTTCTACTCTTTGCGTTTTTGCGTAAAGTTGTTACTCATTTCAATAAAACTATCCAGGTTTATCACACCTCCCAGATAATGAATTTAACTGGTTGGATAAGAAATATAAATGTATGCAATTTTCCATCACATCTTCACACGACCCACATTTCACGCTCCAGCAGGACATGTCAGATGTACGTGGCCTGTATGAAGACGAGCTGCATATGCAGCTGAAACCGACGACTGTATCCCAAAGTTTACATTTTAATATGATTTTTATGATCTTTAGGAAAATGTTTTGGAGGAGGTCACCTCCCAATAAATGTCATTTCAATACTTTTAATATTTAAGTACAATAAATGCCAAATATTTATTTTTAATATTCTTAAAGAAGACTTAAACTTTCACCAAAGTTATTTTATGATAAGATATTCGTACTTTAACTCAAGTAGCCTATCACTGAAATACTTTATACAATGCATTTTTGACCCATTTGAAGCTCTTCTGTCAGATGATCGCTGCTGCCATCCAGTGGTGAAAACAAGTTACTGCAGCACACAGGAGATGCTTTTTCTCCTCAGCCCCCTCAGGACCACCAGTGGAGACAGATGGTCTTCCTTTCTGAGTCTGTTTCCTCTGCAGATTCATCCTGTTCAGATTGTGCTTTGTTTTTACAAAATCCTGCTAAAGACGGTGTTTCAACTGGTCATCTGGATCTGCGTTTATATTTCACCGAGTTTCTATTTTTTTTTATAAACATTAAGTAGTTTTTATTTCCTGATTTTTCAACAACACATAAAACATGAATTAAATGATGCCAGTCTTTGTTTTGCTGATGGTTTTTTTTGGGGGGTGGGGTGTAAATCCTTTCAGCACATGTAGCTCCTGACACGCACACACACACACACACTAATGAACAACAGCTCAGATTGTTCTCATTCTCATCTTCTGATGTAAAAACAGGTTTCTATTATTCTCATGTGGGAATAATTGCTGCATAAATATATATATATATATTTCTGTCTGTGAAACATTTGATGCTGACCGGGTTTGGGCCAGCAGCAGGTTCTCTGGCTGCACAGATGGTGTTCAGTGATGAAGAGGTTCTGTTCCGCCTCACAGCAGGAAACACAATCTGTCCATGAAGAAGACGTTAGGAGTTTTCACCTGCAGTCTGCAGAACTGGACTGAGTTCTGTTAAATGTGTGAGAAGGAAACCGGAYCTCACTGCCAACAGAACAAACAGCTCGGTTCTGTTTGTGTCGCCTGCCCCGATCCACATCCCTCAGCAGAACCGCTCTGTTCTGTTGATCCGTGCTTTCAGTCTGCAGCTGAAAATGTTCAGTTCAGTGTGTTTATCCAGCACCAAGTCACAACAGACRGTGTCGGAGCATTGTTCATAAAAACATCTGAGGAAGGAAGCAGATCGAGTTAAATCACTTCATCASTCTCYCATCCTGARCAGCTCATYGGTGACAGTGGAGAGAAAAAACTCCCTTTTAACAGGAAGAAACCTCCAGCAGAACCATCTGCTTCGACCAGCTGGGTTTGGGAGGGCAGGAATGAGACAAACATAAAAACTGTTCCAGGTGTGTTTTCCTCAGGAAGAGAGACAAAGAAAACAGTCATAAAACTGCTCACAATAATCGGAAAAGTAAAAGTACTTTTACACACACTTCAAAAATTAAACTGCTTTACCCACTTAGCTCAAAATAGTAGAACCATTTGGCTTAACTTGGTTAAATAAAGTCAACAATTATTGTTTTAGTGTCATAAAAACTTGAGTTCTGTCATATTAAAATTTGTAGAATGTAACAAGGTGTGAAATTTTAAAAGAAAGTATCAATTTTATGCTTTGAATGTAAAAAAATAAAACTTAAGATTTAAACAAATACAAAAAAAATACTTTTGTACTTTGTATGTAAGAAGTAATATTTTAAATTCTAGTCTGAATTTGACAGGGAGCCAGTGGAGAGAAGCTAAAACTGGAGAAATATCATCCCTCCTTCCAACTCTCAGAATGCTAGCAGCAACATTTTGGATCAACTGAAGACTTCTTAAAGTTTTTTGGACCCAGATAATAAAGAATTACAGTAATCCAGTCTAGACGTGATAAACGCATGGATCAGTTTTTCTGCATCATTTCGGATTGAAAAAAAAAAGGCTCCTAAACTTATAGAATAAACTTAAATATCTGTTTCTGTTTCCATCAAAAATAAGTCAAAAGTTTACAGCTTTATTAACATGAACATGTTTTATAATTTCTCAGTTTTAAGTTTAAGAGAAACATGATGGCTGAATCTGCATACAAAAAGATCACAAATATAAAAGGAATAAACACAAATATCACTATTAAAAACAATCCACATATAAACAGTTTATATTACAAAAGAATAAATATCACGAGGCTAATAACCTTTTAACAACTAACCTTCGACAAGAAGAATTTGGTAATAATTTCTCACATCCAGCTTGTAATTTTATTTCTTTCAAATTAGATGTAAATAAAAAATGATATACATGATCACAGATAAAATAACAGCGAAAAGTCTCTATGTTTTAGAAACTAAAGAATCAACCTTTGTTCTATAGAAAATCTTTAAATAAACAGCAGGAGCAGAATCTGTAGTTATCCAGCTCAAAGATGCTGGCGCTACACGAAGACGCTCTATATTCTATATAGTTTCTAACTTTACTCGTTAGAAAATCCTGAAAATCTGCAGTTGTTAAGACACAGAGCTGATTTGTAAATTTACACACAAATAGGGCTGCCATGATTAGTCGATTAGTCGTTTTTTTTTTGTTTTTTTACTTTGTTTTTCTCCAAACTGCTTTGACACCTTCCGCTGCCACATCTGCCTTTCTGTCCTTGACACACATGCACAGTAGTGGTAACTGGGGTAGGCCGACAGGCTCTGGTATCATGACTAACCAGCAACGGAGCTCAAAATTACGGGATCATTTTAAGAACATGAAAGAGAAACCTGTGCAATCCTATATCTGCAAGGCAGAACTTGCCTTCCACTGCAATTATTTTTAGTTAGCATTTAGCTAAAATCAAACGATGTTTATATAATAGCAGCTGCATTCTGGCACGATAAGCTGTGTGTTTTATATTAAATTAATGTATGATCCGATTAGTCAACTAATCGAAAAAATAATCAGTGATTAGTCGACTATAAAAATAATCATTTGTYGCAGCCCTACACACAAATAGGCTCCAAATTTGAAAAGTTACTATTTGGATGTTTTATTTACAGCTGCTCTGTGTGGGTTTTCATGTGGCTCTTCAGGTTCGCCTGCTGCATGAATCCTCCACCACAAACAGCGCAGCAGAACAGTTTCTCCCCCGTGTGGATGACTGCGTGTCTTTTCAGAGCGGAGTTCTTGGTAAAGGTTTTACCGCAAACATCACAACCAAACGGCTTCTCTCCGGTGTGGACTCTCATGTGGCTCTTCAGAATTCCCGGACCTGTAAATCTTTCATCACAAACATCACAAGCGAAGGGTTTCTCCCCCGTGTGAAGCTTCATGTGTCTTTTACAATGTGAGTTACAACTAAACGTTTTACCACACTGGTCACAGCTAAAGGGCTTCTCTCCTGTGTGAACCCTTGTGTGTCTCTTTAAATTACACTGTAGTCTGAATTTTCTTCCGCAAGCACCACAGGAAAAAGGTTTTTCTCCWGTGTGAACTCTTACRTGCTCCTGAAAATGGGTTTTATGGCTGAATTCTTTGCCACAAACCTCACAACCAAACGGCCTCTCTCCTGTGTGGACTCTCATGTGTGTATGAAAATGGACCTTCCTGGTAAACTTCCTGCCACAAACGTCACAAACAAATGGTCTTTCCCCTGTGTGGACTTTCATGTGTGCCTGCAGAATCCCCTGATTCCTGAATCGGTCACCACAGAAGTCACAGATGAACGGTTTCTCTCCCGTGTGAATCCTTTTGTGGTTTCGTAAGTTTCCCCGCTGCGTGAATCTTTTACCGCAATCATCACATTTGTACGGTCTCTCCCCGGTGTGGATTCTCCTGTGCGTGCTAAGATTTGTCCTTTGGTTAAAATTTTGTCCGCAGACATCACAAATGAAGGTTTTGTTCTTCTTCTTCTTCTTGCCTTCTGTGCGAGAATCGTCGTCTTCCTGCTCGCGTTTTGTTTTCTCCAAACTGGAGGAATGGCATTTCATGTGGCGGTGAAGGGACTGTTTGTAACAATATTGTTTATCACACTCGAAGCAGCTGAAGATCGCCTTGGCAACGTCACGTCCCTCACTGCTGTTTACGTCCGACTTGGCTTTGTCAATTTCACCTCTAAAATCTGACAGAGGTTCCTGCCCAAAATCATCTTCATCAGTGACTTCCGTCTCAGAGGAGTCTGAAACCTTTTCATCAGTATTCATCTGAAAGTAAGACGATGGATCGTGGTTCCAGTCTGGTTCTGGCCCTCCRCAGTCCTCTTCATCGGTTTCTGTTTTGACTGGCTGAATCGAGCTGCTGCATGGAGGTTCTTCCTGTGTGCTGCCTTCAGTTTGGCTCTGGAAATGTAAATACCGGTGCTCCTCCTCGTCATCTTCATTCTTCACAATAACAGTCAGAGGAAACTTCTCCTGATGAGCAACGGCCTCCTCTTCCTCCTGACTGCTCCAGACTTCCTCCTCTTCCTCCTTTATGCGGAGGAGCTCTGGGTGCTGCTGGTCCGGATTWGAGCTCCACTCTGGAGGAGCCTCTTCTTTAATCACCGACAGCTGCTGAACATCTGCAGGTTGGACAGGAACAGAAGTTTTAGATAAATAGAGAATTAAACAACTCTGAGTTTAACATTGACTCTGTCTACTTTTAAGACTGAAAACTTTCCTTTCTGATAAATCCTACACTTAGGTTTCCTGAGTTATTCCTCAGTTCTGCTGCTATAGGCTCAGACTACTGGAGCACAAGCTGCTGTCTTTAGTCTCTCTTCTCTACATGTTTGCTTTAATTACTTCTATCAATAAAGTGTTTTCTTTGTCTCTCTTCCTGAAGAAAACACACCAGGACCAGTTCTTCTGTGTTTACCTGTGTCTCTTTCCTGTCCCTCAACCAGCTGGTCGAGGCAGATGGTCTCCTGTCCTGAGCCTGGTTCTGCTGGAGGTTTCTTCCTGATTAGCAGGGAGTTTTTCCTCTCCACTGTTTGCTCAGGATAGGAGACTGTGATGAAGTGATTCAAGACAATCTGCTGGCTTCCTCAGATTGATTGTTTTTCGTGTGTGTGTGTGTGTGTGTGTGTACATAGTGGCTGAGACAATGTTTGCTGTGATTTGGTGCTATATAAATAAACCAAATTGAGTGTTTTCCTCTTTGTTTTGTTGGCAGTGTGCTTCGGGTCATTGCCCKGCTGCTTGATCAAATTCCTCCCGATTAGTTTGGATGCATTTCTCCATGATTTGGCAGATGAAATGTTCCCGTACACTTCGGAATTCATTCTGCTGAATTGTCTGCCAGCTCATAGAGAAATGCATCCAAACTAATCAGTTTGTAAGAAAATTCGTAATCAATAAACTGAAGTCAATATTAAAAACACCATTGTTAAATAAAATGATTTGTAGAAGGAATCAAACCGTACAACACCAGAATTCTGGGTCTGAGTGAGGTTTATTGTCACTCAAGCTGACAGGAAACCAACACTGGCGAAAAACCAGGAAGTTCATGTATTTATACATCTTCTTCAATGCCTGTGTTCGCCCCCTACTGACCTACGGCTGAATCACAGGCATTCATACAAAATTCTCACCTACTGTTCTCATAACGGTTAAATATGTGCTGTTATAGATATTTCTGACATGTAACTAATCTATATCAATCAAAACATAATAGATTAAACATTGTCAACATTACAAAAAAGGAAAACCTAAGAATATAGTGTTGTGCTTTTAACATCAGTACTAAACTCTAATAACTTTAAATTTCTTCAAGTTGGAATTTGATCACGCAGCAGGACAAACAAACAGGACCTGAACTCTTGTCTCATGCTCATCTTTTGATCTTAAACCCAAATGTTTTCAGTTCACAACAAAAACAAAGAAATTTGATTTCCAATACTTTTGCAGGGAACTGTACATGTGAAGCTCTGACTGCCAGGCAATAATAAAATATCTTTCTATAAATATATATATATCTCTACACACACAATCATTTCCTTTATTTACTGTCTAAATTTTTCATATAAAACTGTAATTTAAATTAGATCAAAGATCTCTGGAGTTCACTGATTTAATAAGCAGAACTGAACACAGCTGCACAACAGAACTCTGGTTCTGGTGATTTTATTTGTTTTGTTTTTCATTAAATGTGGATTTGTTAAAAAATGATCTGAATGTAATATAACTATATATGTATGTTATACATGTTGTACATATGTAACTTTCGTGACGGACTCTGTCTTTCTGCCCTTTGCTCTGTGGTTATTTGTATAAACGAACTACAGTGAAGTAAACAWGTTCGGTCCATTATTATCGAACCGATCCAAATGAAGTGTGTAAGAAAAAATATTTTTAGCTCTGCTGTGCGCTAACCTAACAATTGTCCGTTTTGTTCTGACTGTAGACAAACTCATTAAATGTGATTTTTCTTACCATCTGATCGGTTCAGAACCACATCCTCCTGCTGATGGACACCGAATGCTTTCATCTCCATTTTCTTCTCTAAAAACAGACTTTCAGTCTTGTTCTGATCCAGTTCGGTCATGTCTGTGACGTTAAAATGAACGTTTTGGATAAACTGAACCTGAGCAGAACCGATCACCTCACGTCTGTCAGACTGGAAAGATCCATGGATCTGATTTAGGATCTGGATAGTACAGTGTGGACAAGACACACCCCAGATACGCTTTTTTTTTAACGCGTTGACGTTTTTAGATTTTTTTTTGATCAGGCATCTACACAAACACCTTTCTTCTATTTATATTAGCCGTGTCTGAAATGTTGCTGTTGTATCAAATTGTGTTCCCTATCAGCTTTGCTCTCRTGACGATACAAGAGAGTTTTTATTTTTAATGCAGTTTCGAACAAATACGACGAATAAATCAAAACAATGCAAATAATTTCAAATAATGTTGTGAGTTTAATGTGTTAAAATAATTTAAAATGGGGTTTAACACAGTTGGAAATTAATTTACACGCATCAAGCTCTGTCCATCAGCTGGAGCATGTTGTACCAGGTAAAAATAATCCCAGATTTACTGAGAAGTTTTTCTACAGCCAGGACTACAAATACTAATTTAAACTGTGGTTTGGTTTGAGAACCACAGACATCAATGTTAAGGTAAAGGAAATAAAATAAAATGATTTGAAGTAGAAAAACACAATTTAAAGTTTGCAAAATGTAACTAGAAATGTTTAAAAAAAACAAAAGTGTAAATAAACACAAAAAAGAAACATTAAATTCTTTGTAACTTTGTGTTTTTTTATTTCTCTCAAGTTTCAGTTTAAGCTTTAGAGTGGTTAAAAAGTATAAAAATTTCTGATCAAAGATAAGTAAAATGCATAATAAACAAAATTTCTTCTATGGTTACCGATAACTTAGGTGTCGCATGGGGTGCCTGTTCAAAACTCTGAAACTGGGTTATTAAATTGTTACTTGAGCGATCTAAAGCTTTCCGTGTCCTTGTTCAGGTGAAAATATCTCAACACTATTTGACATCCATGGATCCAGAATGACAGAAATGTCCCCGGCTGCAGTGAGAGGTGATCGGTGTGAATCGACTCATTCGGCCCAGTTGAGTTGAGGACGAGCGCCGCCTGTTTTTAAAAGAAACATCATGAACGAAGTGGGTTATCTCCATCAGAACAAGACCGAAGGTTTTATTTTAGAGAGGAAATTGGAGATGAAATATCTCGGTGTCCATCAGCAGGAGGATGTTGTTCTAAACCAAACAGCTGGTAAGAAAAATCACAGATTTAATTAGTTCTTACAACCTGGACAATACGGCTAGCTGTTAGCTTAGCATATCGCTGCTAATAAATTTCTCCTAAGAATAGACTTTTTAGGTTTGCCTGAATTGGATTTTAAAAGGATTTGTTTCTAATATTATATGCTGAAAAGGCGAAACTGTGTGAGAGTTCAGTGCAGCACCCGGAAAGTTTTAAAACGCACAGAGAACAGCTAAATGCTAGCTTAGCATAGCACTGCTAACAGCAGTATTTATATCATTCAGACATCCTCCTACAGAGTACACAGAACGAAATTAAGTAAAGTCAGATTTCTGGGATCACACAGATTAAAACTGGTCACCACTTATAAGTTTTAAAAATAAACTAACAGATCCAGAATTAATAAGTTCAAGTTAATTTATCAAAACTTTACACAAAAATCTGTTCWGTTTTCATTGAAGTCAGTTTGTATGTTATTTTTCACAATTATGTACTCTGATTATTGCTTATAGATTAAAAAAACACTCAAATGTCTATGGGTCAGGTATTCTAACATGTTAGAATAAAAAAAGAGACAGATCCAAAATA